GTAATTTGTTTCAAGTACTTAGTTCGTCTTATTTAAGTAACACTCACGAAATGAAGTTGTTACAGTGGGCCCATTTAATACAGCAATACTGAGGCATGCACTCTACCAACGCGGCAGATTATAATATGTATACGCTGCACACGAGTGCGTTGATAGATGGTTCGTTCTTTGATACGCTTTAAAGAAGAGAAGTGGACTGTATGAAAAGGAATGTCTGGACGGATCGGCAGGAAAAAGGAATGCTGAAGAAATGAACTATACATTGGTCCTAGAGATCTCTTTCGTAATTTCCAGCAGATGTCTTAATTTTCCGACAAATTCGGTGGAACACGGTTGGCGATTCCGTTGGCGGGGTGGAGTCAGAGTTACGATGACGATCACTTAATTTATCACCGAACAGTGTTTAAGTACAGTACAATAAGCACAGTAAAACACAAGCTGTATTTAACACACGGCGAAATAGGACTACGCGTATTACACTACTACAGAACATTTCTTTAAAATGAAATTTCAAGTTGTTTTCTCATAAATTCTCATAATTCTTGTTTTGCAACATGCAAACAATAAGTGTCCACATAACGAAATTTTAATTAAGTTTAAATGTATTATGCAAAAATAATAGACCTTGTTAGTACGTGTTGTAAGACTGAAATTTGTTAAATTTGCAACGTTAGCGATGATCGCGACTTCGTATTATATAAAGCTGTTATGCTTTGTAGCGCTTAAAAAGTTTCCAGAGATTCGAGACATCGCGGAATTAGTAGAACGCGGGGTTGAAATATCGACGCGCTCTCGAGTGGAGGACAGCAGTTTAAAATCAATATGGAACCGAGTGAAATGAGGACTAGGAAACTTTAAGAAACCGTTAGAGAGCGAAGAGACCCTGACACGTGTCTTATGTTGTGACGAATAATACTCGTGGCAAAAGGTTGACCAATCTGATTTTGTATTGATGTTTAACAAACGTTTCAGTGTAATGATGCAATCTTTGTCATAACTAATATTAGAATATTTGTTTATTATATTAAGCGACGGGAGAAACAAGTCGTGCGCCTGATGGTAAGCGACACATCTGTCCATAACAGTTGCAGTGCCACTCACAGCTTTAAATCCCAAACACCTGAAGAACACTGCCACTGCACCCATCACCCTGAGACAAAAGTTGACAATTCCCATGTGCCTTTGATTTCACCAGCACCCTTACCCTTCGAAACCGAAACGCAGTGAAGCTCACATTACTGCTCAGCGGCAGAAATAGGTAAGGTGGCAGTACTTCCCGGGACGAACTCTTTCACAAGAAGCTCTATTGCTATTAATATCAGAATTTATTTTTTTATTTCTCTCTATCTCAATAGCAGTTAAATACATATTAACAGTACTAGAGCGGGATACTGATGTTTAAGCCAGATAAAGCCTGTAGTATGGAGGTAAAACCTGTATTATGGTGTTACAAACTTTAATCTAAAACATTTGTTTTCATTTTTTCACCGGGTCAAAATTATCTCTTATTGAAATTGGATAAAACAAAGCAATACAATTGCCGTTCTATCGTCGATATACTTAATTAAATTGCTAGATATGACTTTGTACTGACATTATGCCGTCATAATTAATTTATTCACATTATTCTCATGGCATCTGGCACCTAGAGGCATCATCGCATATCCATAATCTGCGAGTTCATTCATAAAAAAATCTAAAATCCTTCAAGTAATGTGTATCAATGTGTATAATATCTATATAATTACCTAGTAACGTGACAATACTTCCCTAGACAAACTCTTTCACAGGGAGCTCTATTGCTGCTAACGTTAAATTATGACAGAGTTCAATATTAATTATTCTATTGACTATACGTTTATACACCCCTTTACGTCTCACTGTGACTTCTAGTTACGTATTCTCGAAGGAGAGTAATTATTATTTTCAATCAATCTAAAGATATAAAAAATCTATTTAAAAGGTAGCAACTTAAAATATCGTGTAAAAAGAATTGATGACTGGCTAGCGTCATTGGAGTCAAAGAAACAGTACGCTATGATAGAAAATTTAATCTAGGTCTACTTAAATATCCAACTATTGGTTTTCTGTAAACGGTGCAATTAATGTACTAGTCGTTAGAATTTCGATCAATAAATCGAGAACAATAAGTGTGCTTGGCATGTTTAAGACATTTTTCAAATTGGAAAAGGTTGTTACTAAATGCGACAGAAATACGTCACACAACATCTGTAACATGAACGGATTAACATCGATCATAATAGTATCTTCATTATACATTAAAGCGGCTGGTATTTATTTTTTATTAAACTATTCCGTTCCACTGCTGGGCAAAGATCTCACATCATCAATACCAGTTACACACACACACACGCACACGCACACGCACACGCACACGCACACGCACACACACACGCACACGCACACGCACACGCACACGCACACGCACACGCACACGCACGCGCGCGCGCACACACACACACACGCACACACACACACACACACACACACACACACACACACACACACACAC